GGGGGGGGGGGGTATATGGAAGATCCACCCCAACTTAAACTGAACACCTGAAGGGCTGTGCTCGTAGGGTAGGGATGGATCAGAATTAACCCCCCCTCCCCGCTGCTCCAAACCCAGGGGGCGCAGGAAGGACCCACTGGGTGCTAAGAGCAGCAAAGTCTGAGCAGAAAACCAGTTCCTGAGATGCGGGAGCTATAGACCTGCCTGGGCACTAACTTGAGGCCCGAGGTGTGTGCCCTGGCTGGGGTGGGTCATCTAGATCCAGGGGTCCCCACTGGGCTCCTCCCTAGAAAAGGCCCCCCACCCCAGGCTCCAAGAATCCCCACACGCCAGCTTTTCAGAGGCGATGAGCAGCGCACGCTTACAGGTGACCAAGACCCTGTGGAAACGGCACCACAAGGGGACCTGCTGTGAAGCGTGGCCGACAGGGGTGGCCGGTCCGTCCACTGTCCCGCCCGCTCCTTCATGGGTAGGTGTGCCACACGACTGGAGTCTGGGCCAGGCACCGTAGATGAGTGGGTGACTCCCGAGCCCCGCCTGTAAAAACTCCTGCTCGATTCCCCGAGCCTTCTTCCTCGGGTGCTCAGAGGTTGAACTGGCCTTGCCTGCCTGAGACAAACCCCGCTTGGTCACAATAGGAGGTCCACTTATATGTCATTGGATTCTTTATTTTGTTGAAGGTTTTTACATCTATGTTCGTGAGAGATAAAGGTCTCGTCTTGGAATGTCTCTGGGATTTGGTGTTAGGGTGACGCTGGCCTCGTCGAGTGAGTCCGGAATCGGTCGCTCTGCTTCTACCCTCCAGAAGCAATTGCAGAGAACGGGTATAATTTCATCCTTAAGCGTTTGGTAGATTCACTGGTGAACCCATCTGGGCTGGGCGCTTTCAGTTTTGGAAGGTTATTAATTATTAATCCCATTTCTTTAATAGCAAAAGGTCTACTCAAAGAATCTGCTGCTTCTTGTGTGGGTTTTGGCAGACTTGTTCTTTTGAGGAACTGGTCTGTTCACTTCGGTTATCAAAGCCATGGGCATAGGGCTGTTCGTACATTCCTTCATTATCTTTCCAGTGTCCACGGGGGCTGTGGAGCTGCCCCCTTCCATTTCTGACACTAGTAATTTCTGCCCTTTTTATTAGTGTGGCTAGAGGCTTACCAATTTATTGATCTACTGGTCAAAGAATCAAGCTTATGGTTTAGGTAATTCTATTGATTTCCTGTTTCTAATTTGATTTCTGCTCTAATTTTTATTTCCTTTCTTCTGCTCCCTTTGGATTTAATTTGGCCTTCATTTTCCTAAGGTGGCAACTTTAATTTTTCTTAATCCCCACCTGAGGACATTCTTTCCATTGCTTTTTCAGAGTGTGGGGGGAGGGGGGGCGGGGAGAGAGAAACATTGATGTGAGAGAGACACATCAATTGGTTGCTCCCACAGGCACCCCGACTGGGGCAGGGATGGAGCTTGCAACTGAGGTACATGCCCTTGGCTGGAATCAAGCCCCGGGACCCTTCAGTCCTCAGGCCAACACTCTAACCACTGAGCCAAACCAGCTAGGGTGGCGGCAGCTTATTGATTTTAGATGTTTTTGTTTCTAATGTAAGCACTCAAGGCTAAAAATTTCCCTCTAAGCACTGCTTGTGCTGCATCCCACAAGTTACAATGTATTTTCATTTAGTTCACTTATCTTTACCTGGATCCTTCTCCGGCCTTGCCGGGTGCTTTAGAACACTAGCATGTTTACCTTCCGGAAGAAGTGGCAAAATCTCCATTTTGCAGATGGGGAAGTGGGTTACGAGAGGAAGTGGCTGGCCCAGGGTCACACTGCCCGGAATGGCGGGGCCTGGGCTGGTGCACCTGCTTGGTCCCCTGATAACTGGCCTGGATCTCAGTTCCCCCCAATAATCACCACTGGCGGCGTTACCTGCCTGGTCGAGGCAGTGAGCTTTGAATTGCTAAAAACTTGGGTGATCTTGGGGACTCAGGCTGGAAGCCCAGCATGGTTGGACCTGGGGTCACCAGCACAAGGGGCCAGGGTCCAAAGTCAGACACCATCCAGTCTGAACTACTTGCTTTCTGACACTCGGTCATCTCAGAGGCACAGTGGGGCCCAGGAAGCAGGTGGCTGTCCTACAGGACAGTCCCTCTTTGGTCGCTTCTCCAAGCTCCCGCCAGGTCTGGGCAGTCTTAGAATATGACACCGACTCAGTGGCCTTGTCACAGGCCATTTATTTTAGTAGAAAATAAGCCACTTTAATAAACATCCCAACATGTGACTCTGGCCTGCGGGTCTTCCTGGTCCTGGCTCCCTGAGGACCCCCTGTGCAGCCAGCTGAGCTGGAGCCCTGGGGACCTACGGGAGGGACCAGCCCAGCAGTGAGGGCAGGAGGTTGCTGAGGGGCCATCTCAGTAGCAGTCGGCCTCGTTGTCCCCCAGGATGCCCACAGTGGCCAGCATGTCCTGCAGGAGCGACTGGGGGCTCTTCTCCACGTGGTCACTGCTCTCAGCCAGTGCCCCCTGGAGGCCCTCCAGGTCCATGGACCTCAGCACAGCCAGCACGGCCTCGGGCTCCAGGGGCCCCAGGGGCTGGCCCTGCTCACCTGCCCGCCACCTCTGCAGGGCGGCCTCCACGGAGGCCACGTCGGGGCTGCTCCGCGCCTCCTGCGAGCCGTCATAGGGAGCAGCCTTGTCCCGCAGGAAGAGCAGGAGCTCACAGGACTTCCGGGCCACAGGGCGGTCACAGTCGAACAAGGCTCGGAAGGCAAACTCGAAGAGCTGCATGCGGCAGAACGCCCGCAGGGCCTGCGCCAGCCGGCTGGGGGGGATGGTCTCCGTGGCGGCGACAGCATAGGGACAGCAGGAGCCGGGCTGCCCCAGTGTCTGAGCCAGGAACACCAGCGCCAGCTCCAGGCCCTGGGCCCGCACCTCCCAGTCCAGGTCCTGGCTCGCCACCTGGAGCACCCTGGCCACAAAGCGCTCCGTGTCCTCGGCCACGTCCTCGTGGCCGCCCCTCAGCCACTGGGTGAAGACCTGCATGACTGCTCTCCGCGGGAAGCCCTCCGAGTCTGTGGACAGGACGTGTAGCAGGTCTGGGAGCAGGCTCTTCTGGAGGAGAGAGCGGGTGGTCGGGGCCAGCGGGCAGAGCCCACACGTTTGGACAGGGCAGCAGGGAGAGTCCCGAGAACCCCGCCCTGCAGGTCTCGGGCTAAGCACACGCCCTTGCCCTGTGGGTGCTCATCTGTCAACTGGGGGTGACCATACCCAAGCGGTGGGGTGCTGGAGGCTGAGTGGGAGGCTCAGGAGACAGGGTACGTGACTGACAGAGCCCTGGCCCCAGACGCCCATGCTGGGCATAGAAATGGCTGTCAGGAGGGGACCGCATGGCCCAGGACCTGCCGCCTCCTACCTGCGGGCCTCCTGGGTGCTCAGGGCCGGCGGGGGCGGCGTGCAGCCCCCCGATGGACAGCTGCCCTACGGCGGTCACTGCGCTTGCTCGGACGTAGCTCTCAGGGTCTTGCAGGAGCTGCTGGGCGAGCTCAGGCACCTCGGAAGCCAGGAGCGCCTGTCTGAAGCTGGCCTGTCCTGGGGGGGCCAAAGGCAACAGCCAGCTGTGACCAGGGGCTGAGCCTGCAGCCTCCCCCCCTCCCCAGGGGCAGCCTAGGGGGTCCAGCTCCCAAAGTCAACCAGAGGTGACGAGTGCAGCGTGGCAAGGTGGGGCCACCCTCACTCACCTGCCCAGTGTCGGGTCACCTGGGTCAGGAACTCGAGGCCCGAGTCCCTCACCTCCCAGCAGTGGCTGCACAGGCGCTTCTGCAGCACAGGGAGAAGCTCTGGGGCGGGAGGGCGGTTCAGAGAGGCCCAACGCACGCACGTCCTCCTCCCGCCCCGCCCCGCCCCGCGCCGCTCCCCGTGTGCCCTCGGGAGGCCCGTTACCTCTGAGGAACAGCTGGGTGTGGGGGTCCAGGTCGCAGCAGCCGGGGGGCCGAGGCGAGCTCAGGAGCCACCTGAGCGTGGCCTGGAAGGCCTTCTTCAGAACCTAGGGGGGCAGAGCGGGGCTGCAGGGCCGGGGGGGCCATCCGCTCGCCCCGTCCGCCCCCAGTGCCCCTGTCCCTGTCCCTTTCCTGGGCGTAAGATGGGGAGAGGGATCACTGGGCTCCGTTTCCATGTGGCCGAAGCTTCAGGAAGCAGCAGAGCTGGCCTCTCCGATGGGAGAGGAGAGGTGGGGAGGCGGCCCTGTCAGGAACCTCACTCCTCAGGAGATGCAATTTCTGCCCCAAGACATGAGGAACTACCAGGGCACGTTTGCCTCAAAGCCCCAGGAGCCTGGGGCCCCTCGTCCCACTCTCCCCACTCTGCTTGCGGGGGGGGGGGGCAGTCACTCTACACCCTTCAGGGCCAGGCTCAACCATGGGGCTTTGAGAACAAGTGTGTTTGCAGGAAACACCAGACACCGCTGAGCACAGGGGCACCTGGTTCCAGGTCACCTCTCCTGTTGAGAACCCGTGAGAAGCCTGTACCTCCCTGCTATCCCCGCCCAGCGCCCCCAGCACTCAACTCAGCCACACCAGGCCCCGGGCCGAACCTTGCAGTCGCCTGACCCTCAGAACTCACTTTGAGAAACCACTCTGGCCCCGGTGGAGGCCCACAGGGGGTTCCCCACCTCTGCCTCCCTCCCCCGCCCCTGCCCCCCAGGTCTGTACCGTGGGGCTGGAGTCGGGGCTCTTGAGGTAATCCAGGAGGACAGCAAACACCTGCGTCACCAGCTCTCGGGGGCCTGAGACAGACATGGTGGGTAAAACCCCAACCTCCGCCTGGGGCCTCCCCAGCGCAGCCGTCCATCCAGGGGAACAGGGACAGAACCCATCATGCCGAGTCCCCCACTCCTCCCCTGCCCCAGAGACCACAGGCAGAGGACAACCGGTCCCAAGACATCTCTGAGCAGTGAGGAAAGTGCGGCAAGTGGGACCTGTGCGGCCTGCGGGGCCTGCTGGGCCTGCTCAAAACGTGAGCCGGGCGAGAGAGCATCTCACTCACCTGTCCCCTCAGACAGTGTCCCCAGGAAATCAAGGGCCGCTCGCTGGACCCGGACGCAGCCAGCCAGGATCACACAGAGGCGGCCCCCCACGTTGGAGTCGGAGGTGGGGACTGCCGAGCCATTGCAGAACCGCAGGACTGTCACCGCAGCCCCCAGCAGGGGCGCCTGGGGCCAGGGCGAGGGCCGCTGGGGCTGCGGGAGGAGGGAGAATCAGCGCGGCCACGGGTCTGCCGCTGTGGGCACAGGGATGCAGGCTGGAGCCACACCTACCACGGGCTGCAGCAGCTCCAGGTGGGCTAGGGTCTGGCACAGGAGACCCACGCAGGCCGACCTGGAGGACAGGAGCGCATCCGCCACCACCGAGTCCCCCGCGGGCCCCACCAGCAGGCCTGCAATGGAACCAGAAACGGCTCCCAGTCAGCAGGCATGTCCTGCAGGACGCCACAGGCCTCGCCACCGCCCCACGTCAGAGGCTAGCACTGGAGGTTCCAAGCGGTGGCTCGTCGAGGGTGACCTCCGGCCAACCAGAGCTGTAACTGTCCCATAGCCCATTCCTGGGCTGTCCTGCTGGTCAGGAGGCTCATCCGCATGGCACACCTGATCCTCGACCCGGTATGTGGCTGAAGGGACAAGTCACAGAACCCAGCTGGGTCTGGGCCGGCAAGTGCCAGGCCCGTGTGCCCGTTCTGGCTCAGGAACCACCACCCGGCCAAGGCCCGGGAAGGGGAAGAAAGGTCGCTGCGCTGGGGCCACCATGGTGCCCACCAGGGACGACTCTGCCCATTAACTCTGGAGTGAGGACATGAAGACAACAGCAGCAGAGAGATCTGGGACGGTGGCCCATGTCCCGTCACCTTCAGTCCAAGTTTGGGTGGCGAGCGCCCCGCTGCCCACCAGCCGGCCCTGACCCAAGAGTCCCGCCCTCCGGTGCCATTCTGCTCCTCCCAAGTGGCATACCTGGGGACCCGGGGGCCTGAGCAGCCTTCAGGACACAGGCCAGGGGCTGCAGGAGAACATCGAAGGCCTGTGTCCTCAGTGCCTGCAGACTAAGGACAGAGGACGTGGTGAGCCCTGCTCCCTAACCCCAGGCAAGCTGGCTGCCCTCCTAATAGCTCAGCAAGTCGGACAGAGGAGCCGGTGGCGGCAGCTGGACCCTCCTGAGGAACAGCTTCCCTTTCCCTGCAGGCACCTAGACGGGTACCAGGCCACGGGTGTGGGACCATGGGAGCTGCTCGGAAACGCCCAGGACAGCCTGGCCACACCCACCCCGATGGCCAGTGCCGCTCAGGGCCATGGGGACAGGAGGCCCCACCTCCGGGAGCTCCCAGAGGCTTCACCTCCGCTCAGCCCAGTGTCCCTTCCTGCGCTCTGGACGACAGTCTGGCCCGCGTGCCTGGCCCAGGGTAGGTGTGGGGCTAAGCGGGCAGAGCTTCCGTCTAGGCCGGCTGCCTGGCCCTCTAACCTCGTACGCCTCCCTCTCTGGACATCCAGAGACCCTGGAGCCCAGAGCTGGGCTCTCAGTTTCCTCCACGCCCCTGGTGAGTGGGTCCTGAGACCACCTTCACCCTGGCCTGGGCCGGTGTAACCAGTTCTCATCTGCCTGGACACTGGAATGACCCTCATCTTCCCTGCCTCTCCGGACCCCACGCCCGCTACCAGGTGGACGCACATCCCTCTCCTGCCCGAAAGCTGTCCTGTCCCTCCTGCCTACTGGATCCTGTCCACCGCCCACGGCCCCTGGTACCCACCCAGGGTGTGCACATGATGGTGGTCTGGCACCCACAAGCTGGGGCCACTAGGAGGGGCAGAGGCCAGCACATGGGTCTTGGGGACAAACCCAGCCCAACTCTGGCACAGAGCCTCCAAGTCTGTTTGTCTCTGCAGAGCCTGCAAAGCATCTGCTGGAGAAAGTGACTCTGTCTCTAAAGAGGACAGAAGCTGTGGCCTGTGCCACCGCCTCGGCAATGGCCCAGGCCGCCCCACCACGCACTGCCCAGCGACTCCCACAGGCCGCCCCACAGGCTTAGGCGGTGGCCTCTGACTGTCCGCTGACTTCTGGAGCTCCTTGGATTCCCTGACCACGAGGTCCAGGCTCTAGACCCCCACCTGCTCCAACACCAGGAACCCCGTGCTCACCAGTCCTGCAGTTTCAGGACCCCCAGGGCCAGAGGCCCTGCTTGAGCGGGGCTCAGATGGCCCAGGGTCTGTGCCAACGTCTCCCACAGGCTGCAGTCAGCACTCAGCGCAGGAGAGCTGCAGGGAAGGACCCCAGAAAGAGTGTTATTCCTGTCCTGCCACCAAAGCCCACATAGCACTCAGCGGGACTGCTACGCGCCGCAGCTGGCATGCCCAGCGGACTGGGCAGGTCTCTCCCAGGTGCCCAGGTGCTCGGCTTTCAGACCCCTCCAGTGTTCCCTCCGCTCGAGGCAATGAGACGTGGCCCCAGGTATAACAGCTGCCCTGAGGCTTCCCAGGGAAACAAGCACCCACTTCTGCCCTCCCCCCAGCTGCGCCCCGGGGGGACCTGACCGGGCCACGCTGAGGAGGAGATCCACCAGCGAGTGTGCGGCTGGGACAGGGTCTTTCTCGAGCAGACAGGCCACGAGGGGACTCAGCCGCACCCAAAGGACTTGCGTCCAAGGGCTCTGGCAGTGCCCAAATGTGGTGGTCAGGACGTTCAGGGCCTGCGTGACCTGCGGGGTGGCGGTGGAACGCAGGGACTCCTCGACATGGCCCAAAATCCTCTGGGCACTTGCCGGCCAGTCACAGGCCTGAGGGCTGGGGTGTCCCTCGGCCTGGTCTCGCATAGACAGAGCCAGGGTGTGTGCCAGGAGCTGCCCAGCTGCTGAGGCCACAAAGAGGCTGGAATCTCCCTGCAGAGAGAAGATGGTGTCCAGGGTACCTGAGGAGGGGGAAGAAGACTGTTCAGCGGGGACAGGAGGTGGGGGGCAGAGACCCCAGAGACGCCACAGCACCGAGTGGCTCCATCAAAAGAGTCCAGCATCTCTGGGAAGAGCCTGACACCACTAACTGCCGGAGGGGCCATCAGAGGCCCAGCTGTCCTGGCTGAGAAGCCGAAGAACCCGAGCTGGACCTTCACAGGGTGATCAGCACTGTTTCCTACCAGGCTTTCAACCCACGGAAGCCCGGACTCTTCCTAATTAGTTCTAAAGCCATCCAGCTGCTGGGTCTCACCGGCCAGTAAAAGGACGCTCTCACACTCTCGAGGGGCCTCTAACCCCCTAGGCAACCCAGAGTGTTCCTCACAACAGCTCGGGGCCTCACAAAGAGGCCCAGCAAGGTGCAGAGATCTCCCTGGGGCCACACAGCACCAGGACAGCAAGGCCACAGGGCGAAGGCGGGCAGGTGGGCAGGGCACTCACCAGAGTCAGAGTCGGCCAAGAAGTGCAGGGCGCTGGGGTGCTGTGCCAGGGAGCGCAGGCCCTGGATCCAGCCGCTGCGCACCGTGGGCACTGTCCAGGCTGCTCCGCCAAGGGGACCCGCCTCTCCGAAGAGCCCGGGCAGCAACTCGCCCTGCTGGAGGTGGAGAAGGAAGTGGGGCCCTGGCCGTGCTCCCAGGGACAGGCAGATGAGACAGGGCCCTCCTGCGGTGTGGACCCTGGGGCGGCAGTGCTCCTGGGAGGTGGCAGGTGGCCCCCAGGGCCAAGTTTTAAATAAGGGTTCATCGACCCTGTCACAGTCTACTTCAGAAACCCTCCCCCAAGGCAGCACCACCAGCGTCACCTCCAAAGGCCCACCTTGGACCATGACATGCTGTGCTCAAGGACCCCAAGGGGTCTCCACCACCTACTGACCTCCTGACCCTGGCCTGTGGGGTCCACTAGGGCACCACCCACCTCCAGGTGTCCCCCACGACCGGTGGGTCAGGCCTCTCCCCCACCCCTGTGCAAACCCTTTACAGGACAAGCAACATTTCAGAAACTTAGGGGTGGTAACAGCCACCCTTCCTTTCTATACCTGCAGGAGGAGAAAGCCCCGTACCTCTCAGTGGCCACTCGGGTGGGAGGACCCGGGCTCACCTGAAGATACTGGAAGCAGTCTTCCTGGGCGGCAAATATGCCCGCAAGGCGGAGAGAGAAGGAGAGGACTCCGGGACTCAGGTCCTGGGACTTCAGCACCTGGAGCAGCAGCTCCACCAGGCAAGGGCTGTCCTGCAGCAGCAGCAGACTGGACCCTGGACACAGGCCCAGCCAGGGGGGCATCACCAGGGGCACAGCGCTACGTGTCCCCCAGAGGACCGCTCTTGCGGCAACTCCCGGGCCCCTTTTTCTCAAGCCTTTAAACTTAGCAGTCTAATGGGGAGAATATATTTGCAAAGTTGCAACCAAGGATTCATTGCTTAATGCAACAAGGGGAACAAAGTAGAAAGCCCACGCCTCAGACAGGAAGCACAAATGGCAAGAAACCGGAGATGCTCTGTCTTGCTGATTACCAAAAGGAAACGCAAGCTCAAGCGAGGGACCATCTTGCCCTCTCCAACGGGCACTTTTTTCTTAAACTGAGCGTCCTCGATGCAGGGAAGCCCAGTAGAAAGGCCGTTCTCACCTACACTCACCTACGCTGCCGTTTGCCGACGGGGGAAAGGCAACCAGGCTGAAGGCGGGGAGGGTCCTGGCTGCGAGGACTTCCCAACACTAAGCTTAGGGAAGAAGGCAATGGACGGAGCACGGAAGGGGCAGAGGCAAGAAGCAGAGGCCAACGGCCGGGGCAAATCTGACTTTAAAAGTCAGGGAAAACTTCGGAAGGGTTTTAAAACAAGACGGGCTCAAAATACCAGACAACGACAGCAGGGAGGCTCGTGCTGGGCTGGAGGCACCGCGGTTTGAGCAGAGGACAGACTGTGATAAACTTGCAGCTCTTTTATCCAGCTTGGCGGGAGGGTAGCCGCTAAGGAACACACGTGGGCCGTGCAACGCCAAAGCCAGGAGAAAGAGCTGAAAACGCCGAAAGCTCATCAGTCCAGTGGAGGGCCGAAAACCGAGGGAACGGGAACAAAGGCAGACGTGGGGAAGCACAAAAGAGTAGGGTGAAAACAGGTCCCAATGTAACAGTCAACTCAACAAGTGCGGCAGAATAACCGGTGTTAGAAGAGCTGCTCGGGGCCCCGGCCAGCAGCGTGAGTGGTCAGAGCACCCGCCCCACGCGCCAAGGCTGCAGACTCAGTCCCTGCCCAGGGCACATACGAGAAGCAACCGACGAATGCATAAACACGTGGAACAACAGAGCGGTGCTTCTCTCTCTCCCCCCCTTCCACTCTCTCTAATACAATAAGTAAATAAATAATAATTTTTTTTAAACCCTCAACCAAGGATATTTTTCCCATTGCTTTTCAGAGAGAGTGGAAGGGGGCTGGGGGGAGAGAAACATCAATGTGAGAGAGGCATTGATTCGGTGCCTCCCGCACAAGCCCCAACCAGGGCCGGGGATCGAACGAACCTGCAACCGAGGTACATGCCCTTGGCCGGGATCGAACCCAGGACCCTTCAGTCCACGGGCCGACGCTCTAACCACTGAGCCAAAACGGAAATTTTTAAGGAGCTGTTCAGATTAAATTTAGAGCCAGCACTGTACTGTTTACAGAAGACGGTGAAGTATGGCACAGGGACCGGCCCAGGCTGAGCGGTGAAAGAGAAAGTAGGCATATTCTAAATTTAATAAAGCTGGTACAGCAGGAGTAAAGTCAGACAAAACAGCTTCAACACAAAAAGCATTCTCAGCACACCAGGAAAAGTCACTGTTCAAAGAGACGAGCCCCAGGAGATGTAACATCCAGGCCTGCTCGTACCTAACGCTTCAAGGTACATGCAAAAAAGATTTTTTTCCCCAAAGGAAAATGTTGAATCCGTAATCCCAGCGTAAGATTTTTACATACTTCGCAGAAACCACCAAGGAAAATGAGCTGAACAACAGAAACCTGAACTCAGGAGCAAGTGTGGGACCATGTAGACAGAAGACTTGGGAAAACGGAGCACCGGCCGGCCAGGGGAGGAGGGCCGGGGAGGGGCTGCCACGGGCACCCGGCTTCTTTTGGGAGATAAAAATGCTGCAAAATCAGATCGTGGCGATGGCTGCACAGCCCTATACATTTACTAAAAGCCATGGAATCGTACATTTTAAATGGATCAACTGCATGGTATGTAAAATTTTTTTATAATTTATAATGGAATATAAAGATGTAATACAAAAATTATCTCAATAAGGCTGTTCAAAAGTGTTTTTTTTAAATCTGACTACAAACTAGGCCACCATCGAGGACTCTGCAAATACCAAAAAACAGTGCCCTACAGCAAAATCTACAGGACACTTGCAAAAACTGCCTGTGTGGCGCCTTCCTCAAACCTCAACAGACTGAAAGAACTGAAGTGCCGATATTTTCTAATTCCGATGAAATAAATTAGAAATCAACAGGAAAGACCAAAAAGGAACCCATGTTTTGACTCTAAAAGATATCTTTTTAAATAATTTGTGGGTGAAGAAAAAAACTGGAAAGTATGAAATACCTGGAACTAAATGAGAACAGAAGGACTGCACAGGGAAGCTCGCCGGGCGCTGCTAACGCGGGCCTCTCAGGGAGGCGTGCAGCCTTGAACCCAAGGTGGGAGGGCAGTGAAGACCCAGCTATTCAGCCCGACAGAGGAAAGGTGAGCCAGAGTGAGTGCCCAACAGCAGAAACCGGTGCCGGGGAATTATTTACGGCACTATTTATAATAGTGACACATCAGCGACGGCATCATCTTACAACAGTGACGTAACTACATGAAACATAGTGAATGACACGGTCAATAAATCAGCGTGTTCCACGCGGAAAACACCCGCCGCGCCGGTGAGAGAGAAAAAGCGAGACACCAAACTGTGTTACGGCGCCGTCTCGTTTTTATAAGAAAACACAGCTTCGCGCTGCGTTGGCAGAAAGGGCTGGCGGGAATTAAAAAGTTGATAGTGGTTTAATTTTCCTCTTTATTCCTCTGTGTTCTTGAAGTTTTACGTAAAGAATTCGTATTATTTTCATAACCAGAGAGAAAACAAAACCGTAATAAAGAAAGAAACAACAACAACAAAAATGCACTGAGAACAAAAAAATAAGTGTGTCCACACCCTCTGCAGCCACCTCGCTGGTACTGAACCACGGGAGGCCGGAATCGTGGCCGGAATCGGAAGACCACCAAGCTGCAGCTCCCGCTCCCCGATCACCCCCTCAGGCTTCGGCCTGACGTGTCCCCAAGTCGCCAAGGGACATCTATCAGGATGTGAAGGAAAGACACTAACCAGATGGACACCCCTCCCTCAGCACAGGGGACCCCTGTGCACCCTCTAGCCTCTGGGGGAAGGCAAGAGCGGCACCCTCACCCTTACCAGCTTCAGTTACAGTTTTAAACCAGTCCAGCAGCTTCTCCAAACAGGTGTCATCTGCCACCGGCTGCCTGGGGTCGGCCAGGGCTGCGCAGAGGGCTGGCAGGAGCTGGGCGCACTCGGAGTCCATGGCCAGGCCAGGGGTTCCTGCAAAGAAAATGTCAGGGTCAGACCCCATCGGCCCCAGTCACAAGCAGCCCCCCGCCCGCTCAGGCCCCAGGACTGCTGTCCGTAGGGCTGGACAGCAGGACGATCGCAGTCCTCGGGGCGCGATGCGGGGATGGGCGCAGAGCAGCAGCCTGGGTGGGGCCTGGACGGAGGCGTCAGGGGCACCCCGGCCCTGACGCCTGGCCACGGGGCAGGGAAGGGGTCAGTCCGGTGTAAAGCTCAAGGCCTTAGGAGCTCAAAGCTGCCAGCCTTGGACTCTGGTGGAGCCTAAGAGCATGACGCTCCCCTGGGCTGCGGGGGGCCGGAGTCAGGGGTGCGGGTAGTCTGGGGGCAGCCACGTGCACGGGCGCGTCCGAGTCCCGGCTGGTGGTGTGAGTCCGGGGTCAGCGGGCCTGCATCCCACAACCCTGAGGCCAGCGGTGTGCACCTGCGTGTCCGCCTGCGCGGGGGGCCTGGGCAGGGCTGGGGCGCCCTCCAGGAAACGCACTAACAGGCGCCCCAAGTGCAATAAATGACCTATAAA